GCTGCCTTTTTTTTCCCTCTCGGCTCTTTCATTGGAAGAAACAGACACACACACCTTGATCCAACCCCCATCCTGCCAAACACACACGCACACATACATGCTTCCTGTAGTTGTTTTAGTACCCCCTCCCAACCCCCGTGTGCTCCCTACTGGCAGTGAACTGGCCGGACTGACTTCCTCTCTCCTTGTCGTCTCTTCCTGTGTGTGTGTAGGGATGAATGGACATATTATTCACAGCGACGCACTGACCTCCCCCGCCGCCCCACACCCTCCCTTACTCACCCTTTACACTGCTTTCTGTTCTTGCTCCTTTTCTTTCTGCTCCTTTCATTCTTCTGAGGACAATAGTATGAGCTCACAGTGGTACAACTCTAACCCCCCCCCCCCCCCTCTGCACTGGTATGTACCGCAATAACAGCCCCCGGAGCAAGAAAGACCCGACCGTACTGCACAGTACACTTGCAGTTTGTACCCTCGTGTGCACACACACTCACCCACACAATGGCAGAATGGGCGATACCTGTCCTCGGTCCAGATCCCCCGGGTTTGGTTCCCTGGGATTCCCTTAGAAATAGTTGAGAGTCTTCTTGTGTTTAATGCTGGCTGAGGGTGGTGGGCGCTTCAATGAGGTTTGTGTTAAAAGGATTATCCCGGTTTATAGTACTTGAGTTTCATTTCCTTGGATTTGACCTTTTGTTTGTGTTGATTACGCTTGCTGAAGTAATTGTTGTGATCTGGGAACATCCAATGTTTTTGTACCCATTCAGTCATAGAGGGGCAACTGACTTAATGACACGGGTTCCTTTAGCGCAGGAAGAAAAACTTCAATAAATGCAACGTTATCTCTGCAATTAGGTTCAGTGTTTCCCACACATCCAACTTCAATGTGTGGTGGCTGACCAAGGGAGGGGGGGGGGCGCTGAACTGGAATAATTCGTTCAATATTAATTTGTAACACAGAACTTTATTGGAGATTCTTTGCTTAAAAGTTCAACAAATCACGGAATTATCAGAATTAATGAAAATACATTTTCTAATGTGTGTGTGTGTGTGTGTGTGTGTGTGTGTGTGTGTGTGTGTGTGTGTGTATGAGACGTGTGAGTGACAGAGACGGAGGGAGAGCAGGGAAAGGAAATGCAGCTGAACGAATACGCTGCGTGATTTAAATAGCGTTAAATGAATAGATATACTAATATGTACACTAAACCCAATGTTTGGCGGCCGGTGTTGAATCTGTGGCACACTGCCACATTTTAGTCTATGTGTGGGACACACTGAGGTTTGTATTCATTAATATATATTTGTAGTATTATGTTCAAAGAACCTTGAAAATACAAGTAGGTCATAATTAATCAGAGTTTTATTTTTACTGAACCGGTCATCTGTGTTGGTTGCTTGTTTGTACCCTCCTGCTCCAGCCAGTTCAAGCCTCGTCTCGAACATCCACCACGTCTACTTGTTTATCCGTTGCCACGTGTGTGTGAAAGTGTGTGTGTACAAACCAGAGCAGGACAGATCAGGGATGGGGCTCCCAAGAACAGACTGGACAGCTGCCGTCAAAACACTCCAGAGTGACAGCGTGGACTCAATTTTGTGTGTGTGTGTGTGTGTGTGTGTGTGTGTGTGTGTTGAACCCATAGCCCAGGGTGTTTTCAGGTATAATGAGTGCCAGCAGCAGTAGGTGTGACTCCTCTATCTAGCACTTCTGTCAGCTTTCAAACAAACAGCCTAAAGCTGTCCTAACTTCAGCTATTAAAGGTAATGTTGCAGGGAAAACGTGACTTTCAGTCAGGAGGATGGTTGGGTTTACTTTTGGCAGCATCTTCATTTCCTTTTTTTATATTTATTTGTTCTCCTTTTTAGAGTAAACACACATTTGTATGCAGCAGCGTGTCTGTCAACTGCAAAATATCACATGCAGGCATTGACCACGGTGGTACTGTCATTCTAGCATGGTTACATTGTCTCCATCCATCATTATCTCTATTTTCATCTTCCCCTTTCTGGGTCAGAGTAAGCAAACCAGTCAATAATGCATAAGGAGGAGGGGCAGCTTTGGGTGAAATGGTTTGACAGATTTCATGCTCACGTTGTTTCTACATAGAAAGCCAGGCATATGGGGGGTAATCAATCACGCAATTAATCACAGGGTACCGCCCCCTCATCTCCACTCAGTGCCAAAAGAAACCAACAGGGGGCTCCTGTCACCGGGTTGAAATAAAAGAAGGAAAACAGACGCAACATGAAGAAGAAAAGGCCTTGAGAATCAACAGTGATCCATATGAGACAGTCAGACGTTTGTATATTTGTAGTTAAAAATACCATTAAAATAGCGGTATAAATAGGTTCTCGAACATTGATGTCGCTCCCCTCCACCCAAGACACATTTCCCCTCTTCTATTTAAATGACATCCAGATTTCACATTGGATGTACAAATAAAAACTGCAACTTCCACGTTTCTTGAGGCCTTCTCAATTGTTTGGGTCTCATACTCTCTACATATCTCACTGCATTCACTGTGAATCCAAGAGCGATATGGTCCATTGTCATATTTCCTTTTGATTACCGTCCGCTGAGCCTGTTGTCTCGTTTGACCTTTCGGTAAACTCACACACTCCCTGTGAATGAATGAAAATGCACACCGCTGCTTTTGTGAAGGCCCAATTTGTTTACTGTTCCACCGTGAAAAAGATTCTGACGTCCAAACCTTAGTTATGCATCACATTTCCTCCCAGTCAAGCACCCGCTAGGGATGTCAGGCCTCTGTATGCGCACTTTTGCACCCTAACGTTCCTGAACAGGCGTCTTATTTTAAAGCTCTATTGGTTTCTTCACACATCACTCGTATAGAGTGAACGTGGTGATATTTGTGTACTTAGACGTCACTGAACAACTTTTTATAGGTTGGTAAGTGCAGTCTGTTTATGAATGAAAAGAGGAAGAACTGCTTTAAAGATTTCCATCCATCTTCTTCAGATGAATTTTGTTGCATTTGTTTAAGGGTGTAGGTGGAACTGGTAAACTAAGTGTATGTGGGCAAGGCTCGTACAGATAGAGCTAAAGAGCTCTCTGCACCAAAAAGGGAAGGAAAAAGAGGAGGAAGAAGAGAAAGGATAGCATCAGTAAAGTAGAATCCCAGATTACAAGTCCTGTTCTCTTCTGCATGGAAAAAGTGACTGGGTTTTCTGGTGGGGGGGGGGGGGGTGTAGGCGTCACATTCCAATTCACATCCGACCTCTCACTAGGATGATGACCATTGCAGAGGGACGAGGCGGAAAGGGAGACCCGCAACCATCTTTCCTCTTTGCTGTAACAGGCGTACCGTATCCCAACCAACACTCCTCTCCTGTTGGCCAACGTTGGTGTCCAGATGGATGAAGACATTTTAGAAGCTCGCAGGGAAATTCAGTTTAACAGCCAGTATCAACAAAGTATAGTGTGGAGAAGTCGCTTTGGTTGAGCCACGCAGCCTTATATCTTATAAATGGAGCGTGTTGCAAGACACCCTCTTCATCCTAATGTTAGTTAGGGGCCCGCGAGGGGCTTCGGGTGCACAATGCATGGCCTCGCTGTTAAATTGATTTTACCGCCATTAAAGCTGCTCTCCGAACATCAGAGTCGCATGTGACTACGGTCCCCTTTTCTCCTGCACGTATCCCCAAGGTGCTCCCCTGCTGATTTACCTAATGATTTCTTACCTTCTCACGCACTGCTTATTGATTGGAGCTTGTACTTTGATTTGTTGCATGTGGGGCGTGTATTCGGGTCGGGTGTTTACAAAACGTCTCGAGGTTTGGTGTTGGCCTTGAGAGGCGGGACGCTGACTCACTCCCCATCCTTGACAGCGCTGCGCAATGAGGACATTACTTACAACACACACACACAGACCAAGAGGCAATAACATGTGTTGTCAAAGCGGATTTTAGCACTAGGTCATTAGCAAAGGCGCCGACTGCGTGTGTGCATTTATTTGTTTGCGGCATAGTGTCATGATGCCACAAAACTGCTCTGCTCTGGTCTTTTCAGTGAATGACCAACTGCAAGCAGACACAGCCGCTGGCTAGCGGCACAATATTTAGCTCTGTGTTTTTGAGAGGAAGGAAGGGAGGAGTGGGGAGACAGAGAGGGGGCGGGTCGGTCACAGAGACATTTAGATATCCCACTTCTCTTTGTGGTAACGACAAACTGCTCTCTCAGCTGTTAAACACAAAAGCAGCATCAACAGTCGCTGTCGGCCGGATGGCCGGCTGCCTGATTGTGTGTCTCTGAACAAATGAGTACGCGTGTAAGAGGAGTCGACGCCGCACTGCAGCCAGGATGGAAGCCAAAACTGTTCGCTTTTACTACAGCCATCGTTGTAAACGCAGCCCAGCTGTGGAAAGCTGTCATGTCTCGACTGCACAGGCCGGCGGTTGTGTTTGTGTGTTGTTCCCGAAAAGGATGCATGTGCAGCCTGCTCTGTGTTAGCAGGCGGCTGTGAGAGCATAGCATTAACCTGTCAGCGCTGTTCCAGCCTATTTCCATCGTAGCGCGTGCGTCCTAAAGCCATCGATGTGTGCGTGCATGTGTTGCTGGAGACGCTTTGTCTTGTCCGAATCTATAGCTGCAGTGGGCAGGACTCTCCAGAGGACTTTTTGTGCAGCCAGTGATTTAATGTGGTTACTGCAGTGTGTCTGCACTGAGTGCACTCTATTAATTTGAGGCCGGACCAGTGAGCATCATTGAGGAGGGAGAGGAAGAAACTGAAAAGTGATAAGCTGGGATAGATAACTGCCTCTGGAGACCTTTTTGTGTGTTTGTGTGGAGGAGGAAATACTGACCATGCACACTAATTTACAGATGCGTACGGACATACACAAAAGTCTGGTTTGCGGTGTGGATTTCTCCAGGCTGCTGCGTCATGGCCGGGTGCTTAACCAGAGCCGGGCTTCATCCAATTCAGCTGTAACAAAGAAAACTGACCCACTCCCCCCCCCCCCCCCCACCTTCCCTCCGACAGAGATCCGTGCCCAGCTGGTGGAACAGCTCAAGTGTCTGGACCAGCAGTGTGAGCTGAGGGTGCAGCTGCTGCAGGACCTGCAGGACTTCTTCAGGAAGAAGGCAGAGATCGAGGTGGACTACAGCCGCAACCTTGAGAAGCTGGCAGAGAGGTTCCTCACCAAGACCCGCAGCACCAAGGACCATCTACTCAAGTATGGGACTCACACACACACACATGGCACTACACAGAAAATTTCAGAGAGTTAAATTGACTTAAATTTTAACTCTAAGCTGGTGTTTATATTGTCCCAATCTTGTCAGTGTTAAATCAACACTCAACGATCAATCAAGTGTTAACAAGTTAACTCGGAATAAGTGTCAAAGATAAATCTACGCAGTGTTAAATACATTACATGTAATTTAGCTGACCAAAGCGACTTTTACATTTTAGTCTCGGGGGCAATTAGGGGTTAGGTGTCTTGTTCAGGGACACTTTGATATGGGACATGTAGCAGACGGGGTTTAACTCTACTAAGTGTCGCAAATGAATCTTGACACTGGATAATGCTCCAGCTCTTTCGTAGAATTGACTCTGTAAGAGTTGAATCAACTTTTTGCAGTGTGATTTCAACTCTGCACTCCAACACTTTTGCCGAACACCGGAAAATTGTCGCTGTGTACCACACTGGGCAGTGGGGTTTTAGGATGTTGCTTATGGATTTATTAGTTTACTTTAAGTGCCATTAAAAACCAAAACAAGAAGATTTCAAGTACGAGGAAAAGATAGACTAAATAAAAATGGTAACTTAGCACTTTTAAAGAGCGTGCAAAGGCTTTCAAGATTAGTGGTTTCCTTTGTGAGAAAAGAGAAGTAGAGACAGACAAAGACGAATGGGGGGGGGGGGGGGGGGGGGGGGGGCTATTGGCTTGTGCCAGTCTGGAAAATACTGAATTTCATCACTCACTTCCCTGTTTTGGTATAATAAAAATCCAGGTTGATTACATAGAACTGTTTTATGTTGCTCTGTTATAGTTATCACCATAGTCAATGTGAAGTCTGCGTAAGGCGTGGTGTGTGTGTGAGCATGTGTGTGTGTCTATCTGTGTGTGTGTGTGTGTGTGTGTGTGGCCGTACATTTTGCCAGAAATGGCCAGGTGGAAATTTTGTGCTCTGACAGTTTTGCAGTGTCCTGCTGTCTGGCTTGTGTAAACCTTGCCCAAACGGGGATTATTTTCCTCAAAGAAGGTCAATTCCTCTCTCTTGTCCCCCACCCCCCATCATTTACACACACACAGTACTGCAGTGTAATTAATACACTATTACTACAATCCTGTGTTGTTTTTCAAACAACCCGCGGGGACACGAGTAGCTGCACCATGCGTGTCGGGATCTGCAGGACAGCTTATGCGTTATCAATGATTACTTACCCTTCAGAATGGTGGTGTTGCATTAACCATCTACCTTCAGTAGATGTCATTCCTCGTCCGTCCACGCTGTGTTGCATTTTCAAGGGCCAAAGTGCAAAAAATTGGCACATTGGCTAAATGACAAGCAGTACAAACATTATATTAGGAACAAAACACAATCCATTGTGATAGTTTTTATAGTACGTTCACACCAAAAGCAAAGCAAATCTGCGCCCCGCTTTACTTTACGTGCAAGTTTACTCGTCATTCGCGGTGCCCGTTTAAAATTCGCCTCATTCGTGACCAGACGCGTCTGGATCTGCATTGACTTTAAATGGAATCTACTCACGAGAATAATTCGCTTCACTTTTGGTATGAACGTACCACTAATCTTTGTCATACAGAAATGGCAGTTGATAATCCTGTTAGTGTTTTATGTGAATTCATCCACCAAAACAAATAAATCCAAAATCAATAATTGTGCAGCTGCAACATCTCTTGTACTGTTATTTTAACATTTATTTTACTGCAGTTAGCGAGGTACATTATTAAGAGAATTGGTTCATTTTTCAACAAGCAGGAGAATGTTTTTGTCTTGTGATACCTGCTTTGATTTCTTTTTATTAATTAGTTTTTAGCCGTATAATACGTCTTCTTTCTCTGACTTCCTGTTCACCATAACCTCCACTGCCACCTTCCTCTTTCTCTTCCCCTGCACGGTACTCGTTCTTTATTTCTCAGGCATCTCGCAGTTTCCCAAAAACATTTATTGCTTTGGCGATCGATAGAGATCGAAAGGCCCTTTAAACAAAACCCAATTCCGACCAAAAGGATATACCGCCCCAACACACACACTCATTTATAACACACACGCCCTCTAGCTCCGATCAATACTGAGACAGTTGCAGTGTGTGTCCCTGTGTTGCATATTGGGGGAGGGAAGTAGAGGAGCAGAGAGCGCGAAAGACAGAGGATAAAATATGTGGTTGAGCGTGTCGCCTACCCCTGCTGCTTCAGTACCTCTCTCCAGGTCATATCCTGTCAAATGTGTTAAGGCAATAAAAAAATTACAATTCACTAACTAAGTAAGTGATCAGGCTTTACTTTGCATCTTTCTGCTCTCCTCACACTGCCCTTTTGCTTTTGTATTTATCCAACATCTGCGTGTTTTAACAGTCAGCCTGTATCTGCTGCTGCTCAGTCCGGGTACAACGCTGGAATTCCAGCCATTTGGATGTGTGCAATCTTGTGTGTCTGAATGTAGGTGTGTGTGTGCGCGCCTGTGGCTAATTCTTCTTACTGCAACCGTTGATGGTGCTCCAAGCAATGTGGGGTGTAAGGGTTGTTGTGTGTCGATCCCGTTGGCAGAATGTGTTCGTCAGTGATTGAGGGTAACAGATAAGGCGTATTTTGTGTATATGTGTGTGTGTGTGTGTGTGTGTGTGTGTGTGTGTGTGTGTGTGTGTGTGTGTGTGTGTGTGTGTGTGTGTGTGTGTGTGTGTGTATGTGTGTGTGTCTGTGCCTTGGAGCTGACAGGCTGATTGGTCACACAGAGAAGCCCTCACAAGTTGCACACTCAAGATCCAAAGCCCATCCTTATGCTAAGTATTAGCCCAGCTTTACTGATGATATTCTCCATGGTTGCAGCTACATATTATTTCCATGTGGGATTTGTGCTCTGATTGGGGTCGATGGTCATATGATCACACATGGACTGTAAATCTGAGTTTTCAATGTCAGTATTTCCTTGCACAGTATTGTGCAAGAGTACATGTGAATGTCCAAAGTTATTATAATTATTAGCTCATGCTACTATTTCTCAAGTTCATACTCAAGTATAAAAGAGTAAACATTTGAGTAAATCGTTTTTTCTCGCTGTCTTTCACTGAAAAAAGTCTTACAACATACCCCGCTCTCATCTGTTTATTTATTCATTTTTTAACACTATTTAAATAGGAAATGGAGCTAATATTCATACAGAACCATAATTTATAAAGCAAATTGTTTAGAATTGAGCTTGACCTAAACGTCAAAGTTGATCTGCAGCCTTGACGGAGCAGTTGGACCTCTTCTGCCATTTACTCGGAGCACCAATGCCCTGATTAATGCTAAGGATTTTGATCCTGAACGTAAATGACCATTAAGCATTTCCCCTCCAACGTGAGTCCCTGACCTGAGGACCGGCTCCGTTCCCAGCGTGCACCACGTGACCTTCGGAGGGCCGGTGACATTTCAGTTTGTTTACCTGGCGCTAGTTTGGGGTCACAGAGTGTTCGGCGATATGTTAACCCTTTGCTGCATTACGATTACCATGGCGATCACTGGTGGGCTGTGGGCGACGGGTCACATGGAGGCGGAGAGGGCGGTTTATGGAGAATTTAGCGGAGGAATTGCGGTCGCCTTTTTGGTGGAGAATTAAGTTGTGTGACGGGGTGAAGAAAGCAGAGAGAAGTTATAGCATTAAATGAAGCAACTAAGCGTCTGTCCACATGAGCTTTGCTCAAGTTTAGCATAGTACTCATTGTTAGGGCTTTCTTGTGTGTGTGTGTGTATGTGTGTGTGTGTGTGTGTGTGTGTGTGTGTGTGTGTGTGTGTGTGTGTGTGTGTGTTGTTGTTGTTATTGCTCTCAGTTGGTCATCTGACCAGAGACAGCGCGTACCAACATATCACATCATTGTCTATGACTCATCTCATCGGGCCCAACCTCCCCCCGCATGCACACAAAAACACACACACACGAATGCATACAACCCCCCCCCCCCCCCCCCCCCCCACTACATACCCCTCAGTCAAAGACTTTCTCTGTCTGTCTGTCTGACCTTGTGGATGCTTGGGTCATTGCTCTACATTTCTGCACCCCCATCTGTGTGTGTGTGTGTGTGTGTGTATGATGTAAATGCCTTGCAGCACTTGGCAGTTTCTATCCAGTTAAAGCTGCTCTTAACGGCACAAAGACCTTCTTTCATCCACTTACACTCACTTATAATCCATTTTACCCAATATATCATCCGTGGATCATCCATAACTCATACTGCACACACACATTCACAGACGCACACAGCCACAGTGTGTGCAGACACTCTAAACAGTTGTGTTGTCGTTGTAAGCAGAACATTGACAGCCTTGCATTTGTGTAATGGCTTAATGTGTACTTGAAACAGAGACAATGAAACAGTATTGAGCAATTAGACTCTTTGTGAAATCATGACAGTCTTTTAAGTATCTCTCCTTTTGTGTTTCTTTCACATCTCTCTCTTTATGTTCATCTCTGTGACAGCTGTGCTTTTGGGGGAGTCTTGACTCTTCCCGCTGGGTTTTGTACCCTGGCTGAATCCCCCTTTTGGCTGGTGTGTGTGTGTGTGTGTGTGTGCGTGTGCGCGTGCGCGTGCGTACAATTTAAGTGGTTCAAGTTAGAATTATGAGGGCTGAATTGAGTTCAGGTAGTAAGAGACTGTCCCAAAAGGTGCTTGGAGGTCCTTGAATGTTTTCTCTGTGTGTGCAGGAAGGAGCACAGCATTCTATCCCCTGTGAACTGCTGGAACCTGTTGCTGCTTCAGGTGAAGAGGGAGAGCCGGGACCATGCCACACTTTCTGACCTCTACCTCAACAACATCATCCCCCGCTTCGCACAGATCAGCGAGGACTCAGGGCGCCTCTTTAAGAAGGTAACGCACACTCAAACACAAGCTGACTACATGTCATGTTCATGTCAAGACGTGAATCTCTATCCCTACCTTTGTATGTCCTTGGGAACTGTTGATCTGATGTAGTTCACAGTCCGTGGGAGTTTTACAAGGGGGGGAGGGCAGAGCCGTGTGCAAGTTCCCGCAATTTCCCCCAGCGGTGTGCTCCATATTAATAAATGTTGAAGAAACGAGCCATAGTGCTCTTCGCAGCTGTAGGGGCAGGGCTTCAGATCCACATGGACTGAGTGGAGCACGACTTCCACACCACCTTTTCATGCAGCTGCTAACATGACAAGCAAACTCTTCTTCACTTTCCCAGGGTCAACGAGCGAGGAACGGTTCTCGACAACAATACAAGCAAATATTTTTTTAGTTATTGGCCCGCTCTGAATGTTCCAAACGGTAGTTGTTGTTTTTTCACTCTCGGTCAAGTCATGTGCTATTAGTTGTTTGGCACAAGGGTTGCTTCCATCCGTCAAAAACAACCCGGACCCCAGACATCGGGGGACAAGGAAGCATGTTAGTTTCCGTTTTTTTTTCCTGAGGCAGACGGGCGGTCAAAGGCAAGATGAGTCCAAAGGTCAACAGGCATAGTTGATAGATAGCAGGGCCTGGCCATGGGCGATTGCTGTTTGATTGGCTGTAGTCTGGCTTGTTGTCACCTACTATGAGCCTCCCACAGCACTTTAATGAGCTAGGGCGGAACCACCTCCGTTATCCTTTTACCTCCTCCGTCTGCTACGCTGCCTTAAATCCTTCCTGCTGCACTCGCTTCCTGACCTTTCTGCTCTCTGTAATTCTCCCGTCCACTTTTTCTGCACAACCCTCCCATTCTCTCCATCATCTTGTCAACATGTTCCCTCCCATCCATCGATCCTAACACCTTTCAGCTTTGTAACTGGTTCATCCTTGCATCCCCCCTGCATCTCTGTTTTGGGCCCTCTTCCAAACTAAAGGCAAACTAAACTTTTCTTTTTTGTTTGACAGTCTGATGGCTTGCTTTTTAAAGTCAGTTGTGTTTGTGTCTGAATCTGTGCACACATAAGGCTCCTTTTGTAGCTTGTCTAGGCCTCTCTTTGCTTCATTGTTCTAACCAGGTCTGAATGGTGTCCTTTCAAAGGTTTAGGAGGAGCTGTGCAAACAGTTGCGTATTTGTGTACATGTGTGTGGAGTCTTTTGATCTGTGGGTTGCCATGATGTCATCGGTCACTTTTGGCTCTCGGCCGTCCCGTCTGGGGAAGGCCAGTGGCTTTCTTACTCCCAGTCTCCTTGTTCTCCCTCTTTTGTCTCTTTTTGTTAAACCATTGGCTCTCCTGTCTTTTTCCCCCCGGCAGCATATACAGATATTTATCTCCAACCTTAAAGTCTACATGCATTCACTTCCACAGTCCGTTACTGCCTTGCTCATCTATCTGGACTTGTGACTCCTCTGCATCGCATTACCAGATAATCTAGTCTTGATTGATGATGAGTTGGTTGACCTTATGACTGTGCTGGTATGAAGGTCATTGGTTGGTAAGTACTGATGCTGAGCCACATTAATCAGTCTTTTTTCTGTGTCCCTTCAGAGCAAAGAGGTTGGCGTACAGCTGCAAGAAGACCTTATGAAAGTTCTTAATGAACTTTACACGGTAAGAAAACAGACCGACATTGCCATCACAGAATGTGGCTTGGCTCTTGGGAAAGGTATTTTTCAGTCTGTCCACCACTTTGGTCCAGATTGAACAATCACAATGTCTTTATCTAACGGATGGCGCTATGTTGTATAGAACATTCATGGTCCACAGGGGATGAAGCCAAGCAAACATCAAGCTCGACAGAGCCAATAGTGTGGCTGTAGACTCCTGTTGGTAGACTTTTCTTGCAGAATGAAAGTATACACTGTAATCCTGCTACTGTGAACATCCCTACAACAATAACAACATCACAGTTGTTTTGGTGGCGATGGTGGGTTTCGGGACAGAGGATGTCGTATGTGTACAGACTGTAAAGCCCTCTGAGGCGAATTTGCGATTTTGTGCTATACAAAATAAAATGAATTAAATTGAATGGGTCTCCTCACCATAGCATCTGGTCACAAATGTCCATGGTTTTGCCAAAAGGACTGAGGCAATAAGTGTGTGTGTGTGTGTGTGTGTGTGCGTGCGTGCGTGCGTGTGTGTGTGTGGGCAGTTTCCTCCCGCAGCACATCTCTGAGCAGCAAGCAGCGGCTCTCAGCTCAGCCAATAAAAAGCTGGTCTTACACTGTAATCATAGTATATAGTAAGAAATAGAAATAGATCTGGTTTGAGTGACGCGCACATGCATACTGATACACCGACTACTGGGTGCAGCGTTGTGGGAGGGTTAGAGCTGTGTAATGACTGCTGCGGCAGTGGTCGCTGGAATAAGGCTGACCCTGCACACGCTTCGTGTGTTTGACTTTCTATGTCAAACCCGTACCACCATCTCCAGGGACAGCAGCGAGGAAGAGCAGAAGCTGGTCGTGTGACTCATTCACTGCAATAAATTTAGATGTTGGTGACAAAAAACAAACTTTCTGTCTGCATGTTGTGGGGGGTTTTGTATGTTCAGCATCAGTGGTGTTCCCGTTATGCGGACTGGCATAATCCCGCTATTCATCAACAGCCTAAAACCACAGTAGGAGACATGGTGGCGCAAGCTCACATGACCATGTGCGTTTGCCCTTGTCCCCAGGTGATGAAGACGTACCACATGTACAACACAGACAGCATCAACGCAGAGTCCAAGCTGAAAGACGCGGAGAAGCAGGAGGAGAAGCAGATGGGACGCTCTGGTCGACAGGATGACCGGCAGACGCCGCGCTCCCCCGACACCTTGGCCAGCATCAAGACCGACGAGAAGCCCGTCCGACGCTCCAGTGTCAAGAAAATTGAGAAGATGAAGGAGAAAGTGAGTGGGGGTGGGACCTGCCGGGGGAGGGGAAAAGGGTGTGCTGCGCATACAGGGAGGAAATCTGTTTCAGAGCACTCCACCGGTTGTCACACAGGCCTTTAAATGTGTGTCTCGTGAATGATTTATGAGTGCCGGACTGGCTTATTGCTAACCGTGTCTACTACAGCTGGGGCTGTCACGGCAACATGGTTCACCACTTCTTATTATCTATAATCTATACTGAGGGGGATTTCACTCCATCACCAAGTATTACTTCCCTCTCTCAATTTGATTTACCCTTCTCCCTGCCTGTTTTCTTTCATTCTCTCCTTTACAACCTCTCTTTTGGTCTTTCTTTCATCAGAGACAAGCAAAGTACACAGAGAACAAGCTGAAGGCCATCAAGGCCAGGAATGAGTACCTGCTAGCTCTCGAGGCCACCAACAGCTGTGTCTTCAAATATTACATCCACGACCTCTCCGACATCATTGATGTGAGTATAAACACACCATATTACCCTGTGAGACAGAGTGTGTGTGTGTGTGTGTCCCTCTGTCCCTATGCCCCAGCTGGTGGCGGCCCCTCGGTCAGTCTCTTCACATTAGCTTCAGTGCTTGCGTGCGTCTTTTCCCCCCTTTGTCTCTTTGCCTCCTAACACTCCTCACTTCAGAGTGGTGTTGTACACTGACGTGATTTCTATTTGTCCTTTTTGATTTGAAACAGTGTTTGCATGTGTGTTTATATACTTTTTTCTGTGTGTATGTCAGTGCTGTGACCTAGGTTACCATGCTAGCCTGCACCGCGCACTGAGGACCTACCTATCTGCAGAGCAGAACGTAGAGATGTCTAAACACTCCGGTCTTGAGACGCTGGAGGGAGCTGCGGAGAGTCTGGAGGCCAACGGGGACAAACAGAAACTGATGGAGACCTACAACAACGTCTTCTGCCCCCCTACTCGCTTTGACTTCCAGTCTCACATGGGAGACACGGTACAGTTCCACAGCTGAAGTCGTTCTTATTAGGCGTGATGTTCTCCAGGGATCAACACCTTGTGTTGAAGCTTTAGTCGGAGCACCGCAGTGCTTGTCTCTGTTAACCGCCCCACTGGCCGCCGCTGTGTTCTGTCCTTTTAGATGGGAGTAGTGTGTGCACAGCAGCCGCTGGAAAGCGAGCTGCTCCAGAGGTGTCAGCAGCTGCAGTCCCGTCTCTCCACACTCAAGATTGAGAATGAAGAGGTCAGACATCCTCTAATGACACAAATTCCTCTTTCACCCCTCTCAGCTTTGTTTGTTAATCTCAGCATTTTCTTCATTGTGTTCACTTGTGTGTGACACTCAGGTGAAGAAAACCATGGAGGCCACTATAGCCAACATCCAAGAAATGGTGACGGTGGAGGACTACGACGTGTCTGAGTGCTTCCACCACAGCAACAGCATGGAGTCAGTCAAGTCCACTTTCAGTGAATCCTATCTCAGTAAGCCCAGCCTGGCCAAACGACGGGCCAATCAGCAGGAGACGGAGCAGTTTTACTTCACGGTCAGCACTGGTTGTGGTCATCAAGGATTTGTCCTGATACTTGAGAATAATTGGCACATATTGTGTAACTCCCCTGTGTGTCTTTTGTGTGTTGTAGAAGCTGAAAGAGTTTCTGGAAGGCAGGAACCTTATCACCAAGCTGGAGGCCAAGCATGACCTTATTGAAAAGACCATGGGAGAGAGTGAGTGGGCCCGTCATAGCGTCCTTCATACCTTTTAGACATCGTCCTTGTGTACCCTGTGTGTCCTACTGGGGAAGGCTTGGTGTCCTGAGGCGGAATAGGGGGCACATGAGTGGTTTCATGGGACCCATCAGGCCACATGCATTGAAGCAGGGGGGGTTGTTTATCTAATAATCCCAAGCTATATATGTGCGAGTGAGTGAGTGGAGGTGACAGTGACCATATGTTGATGCAGCTGTGTGTGTGTGGAGGGGGGTTTCTTAGGGCCAAATGTGTCTACATTTCCACAACCTTGCAGAAACACGTCTGCTTAAAAGTGCTTGTGCAAACTTGCAAGAGCTGTAGGAAGTTAGTTTCAGTCCATCTGAATCTGAATTTCCTCATGTGTCCTGCTTTTCCTATAACTGTCTATATCTCTTGCTCTCCCCTCCCCCTCTTCCTGTTTCCCTCCCCTTTAGGTCAGAAGACTGACTGTTGCCTTGCCAGGTAGGTGTGGTGAAGGAAGGAAATATGCGCGCACACACGCATATACCGTAGCAGTGTTTATGCTTGATTTCTTGGCAGCCAGGAGTATTATTTTCCCTGTCACTGTTTATAGATATTTTCAACACATGTGCAAATGTGTCTGTGTATGCAAATAAAGTGTTACCAGAGTTTCAGAGTATAAATAGTCTTTCTTTCAGGACATAATGACAGAGTGCTGTTTCTCTTTCTCTCTCCCTCTGTGTAGTGGACGAAGAAACTCTGCGGTACGGAAGCAGGTGATTATCTGTCATAAGTGTGTATCTTTGTTTCTTAGTGTCCGTTGGCTTCTCAGTTCGAGCCGCTGTGGCTGTGATTTAAGCGAGCCACGTGTTTTCTCACACTATCCCCCACCGACAGGTGGACAATACTCTACAACAATACTCAGATATTTAGATTTGTATCCACAGTTGAATCCCTTTAGCCTGCTGTAACCCTCCTTTGATTAATCTCATGTTTGCGGCTCCCCCTTGTGGGTAGCTTGTGTTTTGGCCACCAGCTCTCAGTACGCAAAAATCAATCGTTTGTTTTCAAAGATAGGTTTAAGATATTAAGATCCCAATGAGGTTCACATTACAATGGTCTCATAAATCAGACAAAATACCATCCCCAGCCTTACATCCCAGAGATTTCTCTAAACCCCAAACAAACAAAGGGAAAAGGAAAAAGCGCTGTCTCCTAGCAACAGCTGCCCTGCCCACCCTCTCCTGGCATACGTAAATGTGTGCGCACCAATGCATGTGCAGACATGTGTGCGCAGATCCTTCCGACAAGATGTGCATTATTTCCACAACGGTCTCCTGTCTTGTGTTCCTTTATCTGGAGTAATTCATCTTCCCCTATTTCAGGAGTCCGGTGAGGCTATTCCTCTGATGGTCGAGAGCTGCATCCGCTTCATCAGTCGCCATGGTGAGTGAAATTCTCCAGTGAAGTGATAGGTTTAGCAGCAGCTTTCCCTGTGCACTGATTGGTTGCATTGTGAGGCCAGGTGTGAGTGGTTCTGGATCAAATGAATGTGGGACCTTTTTCAGAATTTCTCGGCTTGGAACTGAAAATGCAAACGGCAGCAAACAATGAAATCCTGAAATATGAAAAAAAGGACTAGATTTAAGCACCAGTGTGTGTTTATGTTTCTGAAGGTCTGCAGCATGAGGGCATCTTCAGGGTGTCAGGTTCTCAGGTGGAAGTCAATGACATCAAGAATGCCTTTGAGCGAGGTATGGCTGTCATTTTGGATAAAGTTGGACTGGAGTTTGTCCAGTGCTTTATCTTTTTTCTACCACTCCATCTTCTCTTTGTCTTCCTGTCCGTATGTAGGTGAGGACCCCCTTGCAGGGGACCAGAATGACCATGACATGGACTCCATTGCCGGCGTCCTGAAGCTCTACTTTAGAGGACTGGACCACGCCCTCTTCCCAAAGGAAGTCTTCCATGACCTCATATCCTGTGTTTGTAAGTCTCTTGTCCTTTAATATAGGTTTTGTATTTACGTGCTTGATTGTGTGAGTCATTTCCTATTTGTAGTGACTGTTTTTTCTTTTGTTTCCCAGCAATGGAAAGCCTTCAGGAGCGAGCAGTGCACATTAAGAAAGTTCTGCAATCTCTGCTGAGCAAAACACTCATCATTATGAGATACCTGTTCGGCTTCCTCAACCAGTGAGTAGCAGGACACACAAGCACCAAGACACTACAATAAACTAATGGGATACATAAAAAAACATTGTGGTTGTTTCATCAGAAAAAAAGATAAAGCTACTTTCTGGGATGTATTACATCAAATTGAGTCATTCTGACTCTAACGTAAGCTAAGGTTTTTGATGGTTAATGTTGATTGAAAATCGTTTTCTTTTGTTTTAGATCGGTATCTTGAGACCATTTTGGTATTAAGTGAACCGGCTTAGGAGCAGGGCTGTCTCTCTGATTTTGGATTGTGACTGTAGATGAGTAATAGTTGAAGTGTTTGTCATGACACCTTATGACATGGATACAGTATTCAGAGATGCTAAAAACCAGATGAAGCCTGATGCAAAATGCTTCAGGCTTTGTGCGATTGTATGTGGAATTTATTCAATTTGAACTTTTGAAGAATATTGACATAGGCCTCAATGCAATGATCTACTTTGGTTTGTTTATATCGTAGTTCATTTCCTGAGAATGTGTCCCAATGGTCCGGAAACTGCTACAACGACCAAACATTTGGCCTCACTGTAGGCCTCAAACCAAAAGTCAATGTATAACGAGTGGTGCTTGTCACAAGTGTTTTACTGTGATCAATATATAGTTGCCTTTTTAACTGCTGATTAGTCTACAAAATGAATAAGGCCAGTGTGGTCTGCTAAAAATTGCCTATACACACGCAATAGCTCCATAAACCAGATTGAGGTTAAAAGACCTTTTTATTTGGCCTCCTCTCAACAAACTAAACATCCTATAACCTTCTGTGGGAAGTCAGGTCTCGAGCCTAATGAAAGTCCAATGTGCAAAGTCCATTTCTGCCTCGTCATTCCTCAGTATTTCCACTTTAAGTTTATTTGTGAAGCCCATTGCATACAGTTTCTCTATATGCACACCCAGAAACCAAGCTCTTTGAAAGACGAGCGCAGACTATCTGTGATGAGGGAGACTTATGAGTAAAGGCTGTTAACATACCTTCAGCTATTGGTGCTTTTCAGTAGTAGTTCACACCAAATGTAATCTTGTTTAAGATTTTCTGCCTGTTTACTTTGTTTGGTACTGTATCTGTTGAGTATATGCTGTTACCCAATACATATGGAAGATCAATTTGAGACACACGCAAAACCTGGCGACACACGATACAGACCGAGCCTACACAGCATTGTAGTCAAGGCAAAGCATAAGGAAGCGAAAGAGAAAAAGAAAAGGGATGTGGGGGAACCTGAAATGTGAGACTCCTGGGTAAACAGAGTGGAGACCGAAGGCGAGCTTCTTCTTTTCCTGAAGTGATTTAGGGTCAGCTCAGTGCTCATGCTTCTTCTGACACACTCAAACACACACATCATCATCAGATCCTCACCACAGTGAACAAATGAGGTGGTGTATTGACGCAGGCTTTGGGGAAAGTTTACCGTTGGACCTTATGCAGTCCGACATGTGGCAATATGCATGCACAGCTTGTTCACGGGAAGCGGGCGATGACGTCTGTAAATGACGAGTCCCGGTTGCTTGTGGGCATAGTCTGCTTTGTGTATATTATATGTTGATGCCGTCTCTGAATGCCTCTGCTTGGCCTCCTGCACAGCCTGTCCCAGTACAGCGACGACAACATGATGGACCCATACAACCTGGCCATCTGTTTCGGCCCCACCCTGATGTCTGTCCCAGAGGGCAACGACCAGGTCTCCTGCCAGGCCCACGTCAATGAGCTCATTAAGACCATCATCATCCACCATGACACCATCTTTCCCAAGGTGCAGGAGCTGCAGGGCCCCATCTACATCATTCCTGGAGCTGGAGATGACTTCTGGTGAGGAGAGTTGGGAGAAGTTAAGGCTAGTAGGAGGGTGGGCGGGGGGGCGGGGGCTCAACTTGTCTTCCCTTCTCCGAGGCCGGGGGGCCACGAGGATCAGCTTACCCTCCATCACACAGGAGATTAAAGTGCCGCCTGACCACATCAGCCTGGGAGAGCACAGCGTGCACGCAATCCCACTCACTTACCAGAATGCACACAAGGGACAATTTTCCTGTAACAACAAGCCTCAGTACCAGTTATTATGAGTCATTGGAGTTGTTTAGACTGTTAGTTACACTGGACAAGCAGCTCTCCGTTGCTAGTGTACAATGTGTAGACTGCAAGATATTATCGCACTAGTCTTTTTGTAGTTTCATTATAACGTCAATTGGCAACTTTTAAAGGAGCATTGTGTAGGATTAAGGGGGGCATTTAGTGGTACGGTTGTAGATTGCATCCACCTAAATACCCCTCTATTAACCTCTCCCTTTCCAAGCGTTGGGATAACTATGGTGGTCCTCGGGTAACGTCAAAATGCAAAAGGCTCCTTCTAGAGCGAGGTTTGGTTTTAGGTGTAGAAACATGGCGGACACTGTGACGAGCGGGACCGCTCCCTGTGAGATATATATGGCTCATTCTCAGGTGACGAGAACAGAATAGATCAAAACAGCTAATGCTGAGCAGACCATGTTGCAATAAGATCATATCAGCCGCTGTGCCAAACTGGAGCAAGGGTATAAAGCTAAAGGGCTCCTTCCCCACTTACTGTGCCATCCATCTTCAAACCTGGCCTTTATTTCAATCTCAAATACGCATTGGTAAAGATTAGAAGTGTACAAGTTTACAGCATGGTTATAATCCTGACAAAAAGTACTGCCGTGGTTCATGCAGTGCGAGCATGAAGTCAGGATGTGAGTCATCAACACATCGTCAGTCTGAAACTGTTATCGTGGTGTCCTCTAACCTCATGTGCTCTCTGTGTCCACTTCAGTGACAGTCCACACTGTGAGCCCCCCATTGTGGAGGAGCCTGCGCCCGACACCGCTTGTGTCACCCGCAACAGCGAAGATGGTGCATAAAACACACACACACTCACTTGAATAAATGTATTTTTTATACTGTACTCAATGAAGGCAGTCTACTCTTGCCACCAGTTTATGAAATCTGATCTTACTTTTCTCAACAGTTCCTTTAATCCAGCCCACATTCTTCTCCCAGTAACATGTTTATTACGCTGCTTTGTTGCTGCTCAGCTAACATTTGTGCATTCACCAAACCACAGCAACACTAACTTGCTATGCACTAATCTGGCCTTCCCTTCTCTTCCACCTCTCTCTCACTCATTTGTCGCTGCCTCCTGCTTCTCCGTCCACTTCCTGTGTCGGTCCACCGTCCTCTGAATCTCAGGCTCCTTGGCTGTTTCAGAGTCCGACCCGTTCGAAGCCATCGCCCGGTTCGACTTCTCCGGCCGAACTAGTCGGGAGCTATCGTTCAGGAAGGGAGCATCTCTGATGCTTTACCAGCGAGCTTCTGACGACTGGTGGGAGGGACGACATAACGGAGTGGATGGACTGGTGCCCCACCAGTACATTGCGATCCAAGAAGCGTAAGATGTGTTCTCTAAAACTGATTAGAACATGAATATATGTTGGACAATAAGAAACATTTTCCCTTAACACTGTCGATGGTTTTGATGATCAGTTTTGCTTTTTTGTGGATATTGGTCGTGATAACCGTCTTTGGATATTTAGAAAAGCATAATACAAAATTAAAGTATTATTTATATTATTATTATAACCTTTTACACGCCGCCTTTGTTGTAGAAATTCTGGAAATGTGAAAGAGCCATGTACAGAAAACACCAATAAAATATACTTGTTTACTCTGAGCAAAGGTAAACCCCAAAAGTAGTCCACTGGAAATCCCCATAGTTGCATTGCTTATCAACTTCCTGGTTAACTTCCCATGTTGTTCGTTCGACCTAAACGCTGTAGGCATTCTAGTTGGAGACCACATTTCCCAAAACTCAGAGGTTGTGAGCAAATGGTTATAGAGTATTCCAGTATTCCTACTAGACAATAACATGTATATAATAAGAAAACAAACACTGGATTTTCCTTTCAAGTTTACGTCACTTTTGTTGTGGGTAAAGAACTTGTACTAGTTCAGCATAGTAATTCAGTTTAATGGCTTTCATCCTTACTTGGTTACATCCTTGTTCTGTAACCTGTTTGGATGTGACTCGTCAGCAGTAGTTGCTAATTGGCAGCCAAGTAGCACTCAGCGGGTCGGGCGTTTCATATGTATCAGTGAGTGTGTTGGCTCCGTCTCTGCTGACTTGATGCGGCCCTGATTAATAAACTAGCGCTTGATTGTTTCAGGTCTGATGGGGGCCGGGGAAGTCCAAAGGCCGATGTGGAAAGCAGGGACCTGCTGGAGGAGAGAGTGTCCACTCGAGGCAGCGCTGCTTCTCCTACTGGAGCTCATGTGGCGGACATCTACCTGGCCAACCTCAACAAGTGTGTCTTGGACTATTTACATCATCGCATAGGTTTTCATTTGCGGCTTCAGTTGGTGTGACATGAATTGAAGAATAATGTAAATATAAATATATAAAAATACATAATAACAGAAGTGAGGAATCAAACCTATTAACATAAAATGGATTTATTGTTGGTTTCTATTTTATGATTTAATTTTTCTTTTTTGATGTTGTTTTCAGACTTTTTAGACCTAAAACCACAAAAACTCAGTAAATAGGAAAGACATAATTGAAATATTTGTGTCATTCAGGTTGAGGAAACGTCCGGAGTCCGGGAGCATCCGAAGAGCGTTTCGTAGCTCGGAGAGCGACGGTACGAGTCCAGGAGCCAGTGGGGGAGGAGGAGGAGGAGGGGTAAGGACCGCTTCTCTTCCCGTTGGTGGGGCTCTGGTACAAGAAACCGGAGATAAACGACCCGTCAGCGCTCACAGCATCCTCAACTCGGTCACCCGCCACTCTTCTCTCAAGACCAAGGTGCAGGAACATCTTACCTTCGACAGTTAAATGAGGTGGATGCACTATTTTGCCTAATTTTCAGCCAGCATTTAATCGAGGGCGTTCTGAATGTTCAGGTGGAGAGTCCACAGTTACGCAAGACAACCTCAGCCGGGCGCTCCAAGAGCTTCAGCAACCACAGGCCATTGGACCCCGAGGTCATAGCCCAAGTGGAGCACAGCTCTCAGGTAATGCAACTCGGCAATTCCTTCCATCCCCATCTGCGGTGCTTCTGTGTGCACAAAGTAACATTTGCCTTCGTGTCTGCCTCTCGCGTCACAGGACATCGAAGCTGCGATGACCTCGGCCCTGACTGAGCTCAGTAAGTTGGAAAGACAGAACACCTCTAAGCACACCCACACCCCCGATGTGGTCCTGGACACACTGGAGCAGCTGAAAGGTCTCGGGGGCGGTTGTGGCGGGGGAGGAGGAGGAGCCTCGGAGCCCTCCAGTCCGCTCCACTCCCGTCTGTTAAGGGACAGTGAGGGGGGCTCCTCCCATAGCCACCCACTTCAGCGCAGCGCCTCCTCGGCCAGCGACGTGCCCTCCTCCTTCCGCCCGGTCAAGAGCCGGCCACGGAGCCCCCTGCCATCTGCCACCTCCCCCTCTCTCTCCTCTTCCTCCCTCTCCTCGTCTGTACCTTCCTTTAGAGAGCCCCGCCCCCCAGCGACAAGGCCCAAACCGGTGGTGTTCCCAAAGAGTGGCGGCGGCAGTCCAGCCATGGGTTCCCCGACCTCCACTGTGCCCCCGACACCTCCTCCCCCACTCGCCGGCCACACCCACTCCCTCCCTCACACCCCTCCTCCTCCTCCACCCCAGTCTACTGACAAATCCTGCCCGGCTTAACCTTCTCAATCTGACCGGCGATACTGATTACTTGCAGACCCTTTTGATTCCTACAGCTCTCCTATCAGGTGCAGAGAGCACTTCCTTTGTTTCACAAAAGACCTAACCCACTACTCATGTGTAGCATTCACCTCTTGTTGTCCGGCCTAAGGCGCCATGTTCCCTTTTACAGTGTCAAGAGTTTTCCTGCCATCTGCTGGCGGCTCTGCCTTACCGCAGTCAAACTACCAGAGGGCATAGGCTGGTGAACACCCCTCAATGACACTTGATGATGATCTTTTGCCACTGCAGAGATCCCAGGCATCACTGGATTTTATTTCCTTCTTTTTTTTTAAAGGGGAACAGGACTCAGGATGGACACCTGCAGACCTAAAACTTAAACTTACATTCACTAGTTTGTGATGTTTGAAATTGTGTTTTAGTGGGTGTGAAGGAGTCTTTTCACACAGATCTAAGTGAGGAACAAAAAGCACTGTTTGATTTTGTATAGTAGACATGACCAATTTTCGTTTTTTTTAATGACCCATGTTTAACGGAATAGAAGGGAGTGTTTTATTCCTGAGAATAGACTGTGAAATGCTAAGCTCTCTCTCTGCAAAGAAATTAAACACACTGACTTGCTTGCTGCTTCAAGACTGGAGATAAGGTTTGCATTTGTGATTGATGAGCGGAAAGAAAACTGGGCCAAATATCAGTGGAAGTCATGTGATGGAGAGCTTTATTTGATCTCTTCCTCCAGGGTTTGATATGTTGGTGATTTTATTTTTATTTTTTATGACTTTTCTTTATTAGTACCGCAGCAGGGGCATAGCGGGACCAGCGTTCCCCAACTGTAATTTTAAATACACATTCAGCAGTACGGATGATAAAAATCTTAGTTTGAGGCTTTATGCTGCTTCTCACCTGTAGCTCTAATATGTGTGTAGGGGACAACTGAAACCCAGCATTTCTATAGGTAAAGTTAGACTGTGCACACACGCATTCTCTCAAAGTGTGTGCGTGTTGGTGTTTTGTGGCAGCTAAAACGCCTTTCAGGTTTTCCTCGCATGCTGGGGCCATAGACAGCGGCCACTACGGCTAGCTTGCTGAATGCATCAGTTTATATTTCTGCAGCACCAGACACAAGACATCTTGGAATATAAAAATATAAATATGAACTTCACGCTTAACAGTAAAAGGGTTGTATTATTCTAACGGTGTGTATGTATGTTTAATAATCACATTGATAACTGGAAAGCATGGAGCTAAGGATCCTCTTAAGTGTGTGTGTGTGTGTGTGTGTGTGTGTGTGTGTGTGTGTGTGTGTGTGTTTTTCTAATAGAAGCAACCAACCACCTCATCCAATGCGTTCTTAAGCAAAAATTGCTTTCTTGTTACGTTTTGTTCCCCAGTTGTTGATTAATGCTCAGAATCTCTAACGTGTAGCCGTCTGAGTGTGTGCATGTGTGTGCGCACCTGTGGGAGCATGCGTGGATGTAGAATAGGCAGTGAGCACACTCCCACCAGCAGGCAGATAGTGTTCCCCCACCACCAAAAGCTGTAAACCTATGGGAAACACTGGTATGTATGGACCCCGCCCAGAACTCCTTTGCAGTGTCCACCCACCAAAAAGCCACCCAACAGCAACTGTCTGGAGAGACACCGGAGTACCAGCAGCCTTGGTGCTGAATAAATATGCACTGTGTGTACATGCAATCTGACAAAAAGCCTTCACGTACATACATGATAGGAAGTCATCCTCAGCCTCTGCTGTAACTGCACCAGCGGCGGATTATCTTTAAGTCTAAACAGAAGGAGGAAACCCATATCCAAGGGCTTACATTGTTTTAAATATCATTATTGCAGTAATGTATTTTTAGCTAAATTAGATCTGATGATGAATTAAGTAATATTTTAATAATTTAGCGAGCACTGACTTCAAAAGTGGACACATGCCATTCGGGGAAAACTAAATCATACCTTTTTGTGGTTTGTATTTTACAACCCGCACTGAACTATTTGTATCTTCATATTCCCCACTATCCCGCCCCTGTTCTCCCAGTAATACAGCACATACTGCATTCCTGTATGCTCTCTACCATGTTATGAATTATACTTGTAAAGGTTTATTTGTATACTGTTCTTGTATTACCTGGTGTATTTGTGTCGCTCTTACCTCATGACAACTGGAGGGACTGTGACTGTTTGTGTGTGTGTGGGGTGTGTGTGGGGGGGGATATGGGGGTGTAATTTATCAGCATAAACAAACACAAACAGACGTGCATGTGGTTGGTTGATGTGTTTGTTCCTATTCAATCTCAAATCAATCATTGTGCACTTGAACAACTTGGCTTGCGTGTGGACTAACTGTGGGGACGGTTTGTCTGAATTGAATATTGTTAAATATGCATTTTGTGTCCATTTGAAGACGGCGGAACTAAAAAAAAAAAAGACTGTAATGTCAAATCTATTTATAGTTGTCTCTGTATTACTGGAGAATCCTGTGTTCAGATGTACTTTGTATATACAATGTTGTACATTACAGAGGTACACTCTTTTTTGGTACAATATTGTACAGTAATAGCAATAGTAGTTTAATCAAATAGGCCTTATATAATTCCATGTGTAGTTCTTGTAGTAGATCTTTTTTTAATAAACATTGCTTGCTATATAGAGTCTTGAATTCTTTGACGTTTGCAGCAGTAACAAATTTGTCTAAAAATATTTCTGATAGAATGTCTTTTCCGTACTAATGAAGCATGATGTCAGAGATTGCGGATATACAGCAAGAAGAGGCGAGTCGAGCACAAAATGAGGGCTTTTGATGGCATATTGGAAACCAGACAAGATCAGCCACAGTCCTTTTCACATCTTGCATCTCTGTGTACTTCAATAGACCCTCCTTGACTCTTAAAACACCCTTTTTTTAGAACTGCACACCTCAGGTTTACAACCCAGGCTTACGGTTAAAATGTTTAGTCATCACTTCAAGTAAAAAAAACAAAAAAACAAGACACCTCACCAGGGTCACCTTTTTACTTCTTTTTTAAAAAACGTTGTACCTCCGTTCTGAGTACTTGGAGTCACTTGCCATGTAGAGAAAGCTGAGCTGGATGAGGTTCCCTTTTAAACAGAACACATTGACGTGCAAACAGAGAAGTGGCCCTTAGACAAACAAACCTAGGTCCACGCGTACTGTGTCTGCAGTAATGCATCGTGGTTATAAACATCAAAAAGTATGTCCATGTGGATGAACCCCACCAAGTCAGCTCTGGTGTTCTCAACAGTATCTTGGGGAAACTCATGACTGTTGGCTTTGCTTTTGAAAATACATGACAACATTGGGGGGTCATGCAGTAGTGTGGCTTTAACACGTAGGTGAGCGACACGGGTGCGCGTGGGGCTCCCAGTCAACACAGACGGAAGTTGAAACAGAGAATGAAACCGTCAACTTTTCATTTGGCTGTATTTCCGCCACTATTTTAAGATTAACGAGTGCGACGCGCCCTAAATCATTCAACAAACTCGCTGCTGCCTTTGAAGACACTCGGGAATTTGGATCCATGTAGGAGATGAAGTGTTTTGATCCTCGCTGACCCGCTTCACACAGCAGTTACGCACCTCATCGCGGAAGAAGTTTCACACGTAGGCGTGCTTTGTCCTGAAGCCAAACCGCCCGGCTTCACCGTAAAGTACAGTTTAGAGTTGTAACTTACACGACTGACGATTACTTTTAACGCCTCATTTCACGGAGGAAAGCAGCGGAAGCTGGTTTCACAGCCGGTAGTCCGGTGGAGGCGGACTGCTGGCCCCAGCTACTTTTTTTTTGTTACCGATTCGATTTCCAGGTTTTACAGGAGCGGTCCAGGTAAGCTAACCTGACACCTTCCACTCAAGTTAGTTCAACTGAATCACCGAGTAGCTCAATTTACTGGCTGATATGAACGTTAGCATAAGTGGTTGCTAACGGGGTTAGCTACTATCGGATGGTGTCATCAAAGTGCGGACGACGAGCTGGTTAAATTGGAAACCAGCGTTAGCCAAAGTTAAATAAAAGTCAGTGTTTTGCTATTTATGTGACGTGAGGTGAGGTTAACATGGTACACGTTAACATGTATTGTTACACGTTAATACCCCAATTAACGCTACGGTAACTAATTTGTGAATTTCCTTCTTCTTTCATCTCCCAACACAAAGTCGGACATCGTGTCCCCGCATTGCTGTCCCCGTCTCTTCCTCCAGCATGACGGGCATGACGGCCAGCACGGCCAACTACCTTTGGTCTCTGCAGGACGTCCTCGGCCAAGGGGCCACTGCCAGTGTCTACAAGGCACGCAACAAGGTGCAAGGAGGGCTTTTCATCAACTGAGCACCTCATTCACATCCCTGGTGCCCTGGTGTTTTCCGGCTTACTCTTTCGGCTGAAAAGTGACCTAGATTGTGTGATTTGCAAAACGATGTGGTTACAGTGCTCATGTGGGCTGCTTTTGACATTCTTACATGGCGGTTTGATGTGTGATGCTGATGTAAATGTATGTGTGTGTGTGTGTGTGTGTGTGTGTGTGTGTGTGTGTGTGTGTGTGTGTGTGTGTGTGTGTGTGTGTGTCTGCATGCAGAGATTGGGTGAGCTGGTAGCCGTCAAGGTGTTTAACTCTGTGAGCTACAACCGGCCCCATGAGGTCCAGATGAGAGAGTTTGAGATGCTGAGGAGGCTGAAACACAGCAATATTGTCAGGCTGTATGCTGTGGAAGAGGTAAGGCCACTGCAAAAAAAACAATGACAAAGAAAAAAAAGGCCATGTGATGTAATTATCACTCTGTCTTAAATCTGCTGTGCTGTAATACATCAAATAACATTCCATCACAAAATGCCAAGCATATATCTCGAGATATGCAGGTCCTGTTTCGGGACAGAGGATGTTGTATGTGTACAGACTGTAAAGCCCTCTGAGGCAAATTTGTAATTTGCGATTTTAGGCTATACAAAATAAAATAAATTGAATTGAATTGAATGTAATAATGTTAGTCCTGTTGGGATCAGTGTGTTTTACTTGTGTTTTAGTCTTTATGAGGCAGTAGGGATTTAATATAATCTTATAATGTTTACAAGGACTTGCAGCTCGGCCCCTAATATCGCCCTCTCTGTCTCCAGCTGCCCTCCAAACAGAACGTGCTGGTGATGGAGTATTGTTCAGGAGGAAGTCTACTCAGCCTGCTCGAAGAGTCGGAGAATGCCTTTGGCTTACCTGAAACCGAATTCCTCATAGTTTTGCAGTGTGTTGGTGGGTATATATATATATATATAAATAAATATGGGGTATACACATATATTGGTATTTCTCCATCATTTATTATACCTGAACTGAAGTATTCCTCCCTTTCCCATCTTCAGTGCAGGGGATGAATCACCTGCGAGAAAATGGCGTGGTACACCGGGACATTAAGCCAGGCAACATCATGCGGCAGGTTGGGGAGGATGGAAAGTCTGTTTATAAGCTGACTGACTTTGGAGCAGCGAGAGTGCTGGAAGATGATGAGAAGTTTATGTCTATCTATGGAACGGAAGAGTATCTGGTAAGATAACAGTCCCAGGAATATACTGAGTATGTTTGTATCCGAGAGTCAAAGATGAGTTGAGGTGGCTCTTAGAAAATACCCGAGCGCATTATGTAGTCCTTAGGGGTGTAACGATTCATTTTAACAACGATTCGATTCGAATGGCGATTCATGGTTGCCGATTCGATTCATGGACGATCTGGGTTAATTTAGAACGATTCGATTCGATTCGATTCAGTAACTCTACTTTAAGTTTCCGAGATCCCTGTTGTTTCTTGTAAGGAAATCAGGTTTAAATTAATTATGGATATTATAAACAAGCAAACAACAATTAATGGCAAATGTATTAAAATTTTATTTGAATCAAGTGCCATTTTCAATGTAAACATTACACAATAATTACACAATGTTTGGATCAATTCACAGAACCCCGGATTTTCAACCACATTGTAGGGTCGCATGTCTTTACAGATAAACTTGGCAATTGTACTGTGATGTTGAGTTTGGTGCTGGCGAGGCCTGAGGTGTCTGGAGAGCTGGAGTTACCTGCTGCTGCTGCTGCTGCAGCGGTAACGCTGCTAGAGGTCCTGACTGTCGGCGCTGTTTAATCCCACGGCGCCTTAGTAGATAGCTGGAAAGATTCGTCGTGTTTCAGTGTTTTTTTATTTGTCTTCTACATATTCTACAAACAGCGACCGACTTATTTAGAACACCTCCGTGTTTGCAAAAGCCAAAATGTTTCCACGCGCTGGATCGATAAGTTGGTTTGTAAATGTCTCGCTCGCAGTCGTGTCCTCCACGCTGTGTTTTGTTGTTCCGAGTTTCACGCTGCGTACTGATGACGTCACAGACAGGCAGACTGAATCGAGTAACGTTTAACGTGTCTAAAGTGCTAAAAAACAAACAAACAAACAATCCATAGCGTTTTTGTACTTAAATCCATTAATCGATTAATCGATTCAGTGAATGAATCGTTACACCCCTAGTAGTCCTTAAAAAATCTGTCAACATTTGGGAAAAATTTAGCAGGCAGAAATTGGCGGGGCTGAATGTGTCGGATTAAGAAATTCAGTTTTCCTTAACTTTTCACCAAATACTGTTGACATATATCTTGTAGCTCTTGAAAGATTCTGCTAACTAATTAAGTAACAGGTTTGAGAACATAAATAGTATTTATTATTTCTAGAAACCTTGCTGGAGGTTACATTTTCATAGCCTACTTTTATGTATCATCAGTTCAGCTCCACGAGGGGGAGACAAATATCCACAACATAAGTCCACTTCAGTTTACATTACATGTAATGTGGCTGATGCTTTTATCTAAAGCGACTTGCATTGCATTTTAAAACCATGTTTTGTTTTTTTTTTACATTTAGCCCGGAGAGCAATTATAGGTTGGGTGTCTTGCTCAGGGACACTTCGACAAGGGTTCAAACCGCCAACCTTGCGGTTCCCGGCGCACCCTCTCTACTCCATGCGCCACCGTTTAGTGGAGCTTCAGTCGCATGAACGCTTCAGAAAGAAAAACACTGTTGCTAAAGCCCGGAAATAAGCAATTTGATTTGTATCACCCAATATCACAGTCCAACATTTTCCAGAGAGGGTTTATTAATCTGTACAACATTTAACATACTGATTCAACATACTGATAAAAGTATGAAAAGTTAAAATGACCCCCTTGAAGCCGAGTGATCTCTCTGCAGAATAGATGTCATGTGTGCAGAATAAACAACATTTTACAATAACGTCAATCCACAAGAATGAAAAAACTGTGATAATGAGCCTAACCATAGCAGTGGCTGCACGATTGGTAGCAGAAATAGAAAATAATTAGCAGTGATATCAATGTAACTAACCTCCTGCTCCATTCACAATGCTTCAAGAACAAAATGTGACTTTTGGAACAGAAAATCCTTTTACTGCCTCAGTGGAGCGTGGTGAACTATTATTAGATTATTGCACATTGGTAATCTGTTCAGTTTTTTTCCAGGGAACACTCGCAAGGCCTTTTGGAAGCCAAAGCACCATCTGAATCTCTGTGCTGCATATGATTGGTGTTTTTTATGAAGCCTAACATGGAATCCACTCAATCACCCTCCCCGTGTTGTTAGTGTCTGTGTTGACATGACTTTCTTAGGCCGGCTCTTTTGGAGTCTCTTGATCGTGAAACCTTATGACGACTGGGTGGCCACTTTGTCCAAAAAACACTGCATTCACATGTCACTTTCACAATACAGAAGTTTGTAAAATAATCCTAACTGCTGTTACTAAATGAAGGTACAATGACTACAAACTGTTTCTTTTGTGTGTGTGTGTGTGTGTGTGTGTGTGTGTGTTCAGCACCCGGACATGTATGAACGTGCTGTGCTGCGTAAGCCTCATCAGAAATCGTACGGAGTGAGTGTAGACCTGTGGAGTATCGGTGTGACATTTTACCATGCTGCCACTGGGAGTCTTCCCTTTGCCCCTTTCGGAGGACCCCGCAAGAACAAGCCCACCATGTGAGTCAAAGCATCAATGCAATGACTTGACTCCCACTTTGGGAAGCATTCCACCATGAAAGCAGTAAATAGTTTTAGTGTTAATAAAAACACCACTCAACCTTTTTAACCTCCCAAATGCTTAGATATTCTCTTTAGAGATGGATGATTGTCTGCATGTTGTTTCTTATCCCCTGGTATCTGACGGAGCACAAGCCACTATCAATGATTATCAGCCTGACTTGTTTGTTTTTGTTGTGTAGGTACAAAATAACTACAGAGAAGCCTATGGGGGCAATAGCTGGAATACAGCGGGTGGAGGGCGGGCAAATCGAGTGGAGCTACCACCTACCTCACAGCTGCCAGCTCTCACAGTATGTCAACTCAAGTACATGCACTAATGAGTAAGGAAATAAAAAATAAACGAAAGGTGATGCTAATTTTTCACTTGACTATCCCTCTCCCTTTGTCTGCAGGGGTCTGGCGATGCACCTTGTTCCGATACTAGCGGGCATCCTGGAGGCGGACCAGGAGCGCTGTTGGGGTTTCGACCAGTTCTTCAAAGCCACCACAGATGTGCTGCAGCGGCAGCCAGTTCACCTCTTCTCTCTGCATCAGGCCATGGCGCACTGCGTCTACATACACCACTACAACACGTTAGTGCGCACAGACACAAGTAAAGCAGTGTAACATTTGGACTGCAGCTCTGTAGAAAGAAAATGTTTTTTTCCATATTAGTAAGATTATATCTCTAGCGATAGGCGTAACAGACTTCAAAAGCCAGTTGAACTTTCCCTTTATTTTGTGATTTTTGTGACTTCATGCCGTGGCCCATTTTGGTGGAGTTTTATGAGAAAAGTAGATCCATGTAAATGTGTCAAATCAATGCAACCCCAGCTTTAGAACCACATCTGTGCTTTGCAGTACATTTGTGTATAATAACAATCTAGCGAATAAACCCTGTACTCAGGTTGCAGAATCAGACCTGACATTTTAAAAATAAGTTTCCAGCATCCAAAAATCCTCTCCTCTCCCTTCAGGGTTTTGATGTTCTTAGAGGAGGTGGCGTCTCAGACCGGTATAGCAGTCCAGCTGCAACACCTGCTATACCTTGGTCACAAGCTCCCTCTGGAGGGCAACATGAAGGTGGCCAACCTCCCGCACACTTCACACGACAGGCCCCTCATTCTGCTCAGCGGGCCCGACACGAATGGCAGCTTTCCCTTCAGGGAACGTAAGGCGCTCAAAGAAATACATCCATGATATGTTTCTGTGAAGTCCAGAGCATTCCTCTTCTTTCTTTCCTAGTCTCCGAGGAAGATATGAAAGAGTTTGGATGAGAGTGTGATCCATCATCACATTTCTTCATAGGGCACATAAATATCTTTGCGAACCAGCTGTTTAATGGCAATATTTGTTTAGTAATAATAATGTGAAGGCCAATCCCAGATAAAGGGAAATTATATACAAAACATAATTAAATTAAAGCTAGTTCAAAAGTGGAATTCATCCCATTTTTGTGCATACACTCATTTATGACGAGACACGTACCTGCACGCACTGTTTCCAAAAGTCATGTGTTTCTGAGGTTGTGTTTTTGTCTCCTTTTGTAGCCGACACTCCAGTCATCCCATCCCGGTTCGATGTTATAGCAGACTACAACTTCTCCAAGGTTGATTTTCTTTTTACATCCATATGAAAAGTTCTGGTCGTATTTAAAGAAAATCTAAACTCATCTTGCCCATCATTTATTGTCCGCTGTCATCCCCTTGTCATCTGTAGGTTATAGTGGGAGTGGTCCACCAGTACCTGAGGCTGGTGCAGTCGCTGCACACACACAGCGGTCTGCTGCTGCAGGGATACTACAGCTATATGTGAGACATGCTGACCTAAGCAGTATTTGTTTTACTGCGCGCGGAGACGCAGCCTCGAGGTTATGTACTAATGCTCCGGGTTACATCCTTCTTACACTCTGATGGTTCCTCAGGATGATGTTTCGTGGTGAGTGTGAGGAAGCAGTCCACACTATCGCCATGATCACCATTAGACTGCAGTGTTGCCTCACCACGGAACAAAGGACTCACACACTGTGAGTTCATCGACACACTTTTTGAGTTTGATAGAGGGATCTCACAATGTGTATGACACAATTGTGGGACAAGGCAGTAAGGCAAATGGAGCTGCAGTTGCTTTCGGAGGTTTTGTTCATTGCTTGTGCGCGTGACGCATGTTTTTATATTGTTGTAATTCAATCCCCAACTTCCGCTTTTTTCCTCCCTTGTCTGCTGTGTCTTTTTTTCTTAGAGCCTGTTATGATGCAGAAAACAAGGGTTCAACTGAAAGCAGGCAAAGGCTGCATCTTGTGAGTAGCACGAGGAACAAGTATCCCAGCTTGACTAATGAGGCTGATGGAAATAAAGTTTGGCATGGAGCTTTTCTTTGTATTTTAAAGCCATTATTTCTTCATCAATGAGTTTTTGGAGAGAAACCGATAACAATTTTATCCAAATGCAATTACTCTTTCTGTTTTCAAATGATCCAATTGTCAAAGTTTTCTCTTGTCAGCATTGCCGGACTTCAAACACATTTAATCGATGGACTGTGTACCATTTGTTTAGTGTCAGGTTGGTGATTTTTTGCATCTCTATCTCCTCAGGTACGTGAGCACTTGCCTATATACAGCGCGGGAATCCATGAGTTCCACAGCCGACTGAACCATCTGCAGATCGAACAGGCCAAGCTAGCAGAGACGCTGGCCAATGACCAGAGGTACTCTAGGCCTACGCGGATCCTAAGCCGGAGGGAGGTCTACTGTGTTTTTTTAACTCTGACGTTTTGCCTTCCACACAGCTGTCAAAAGATGGAGATGCTGAAGCAAAGGATAACAACGATTCATCAGCATTATCGTAAAGACAGACAAACTGGCAGTATGTATCTTTTTTTATTGTTACTACACTGTATTTACTCTTTTTGTAAAGGGTCAAATTGAAAATGCCTGTTTTTCCCTTTTCATCACAGAGTTGGCATATAACGACGAGCAAATCCACAAATTTGAGAAGTAAGTCTGTGTCCACGTAGTAGGCAGCCTGTACAGTGTGTTATTCTCAGCTCTCCTGTAATCCGCTTGTCACTCTTCCATCCCAGAATCCACCTGTCGTCCCACATTAAGAGAGTGAAATCTCTTCTCAGAGAGGACTGCGTGCTGAGATACAAAGAGCTTTTGGCCACGACCAAGAAGTGGAGCAGGTCAGAGCAGTTTTTCATAATGAGGAGGTTTTGACCCGATCGGAAAAATAAAGGGAAGAAGTCTGATTAAAAACATGTTACTTATCCAAAGCATGTCTCAATGTTACGTTGAATATTTGCTAAACAAAGCTTTGATTATATTTTAGTGAACTAAAAAGGTTTTTGTTTAGGTTCAAGAATGGAAAACCCGGGTAGTCATATTGTTTTCAATGCACTGGTTTATTTTTAAATCTCGCTACTTAGCTTTCATAACATGTCCTCTCTTGGAAACTAGTGAATAGTAAGCATTCAAATTCCTAACTTCAGTGTTCGTTCAGCTAAACTTACTCAATTTGTATATGTACATTGGGGCATGGACATTTTCTAAATTCAAAACCCAATATACAAGTAAGAACAGAAATCTGTGCAATTGTTTAATTACTAATGGATTAATTGTTACGAAATTATGCAGATAATATCAAGACATCCTTTGTTCACTTTAAACTGGCAAAAGCACATTTCAGTTCTGAAATCTGTAATATCAAGTTCAGAGGGTTTTTTTATGAATGAAATCTCAGTGGCACGTTGTAGAGATGCGAGCGTGGACTCACTGAAGTGTCTCACTGTGTTTCCAGCGTTTTACTGGAGATGAAGACCAGACTGCAGGACTTCTCCTCTTTTTCCACCGACTTGTTGGCAGAGGTGGAGATGAATGAGCATCACCTAAATAAGGTAAACTTTGTCTGTGTCGAATGTCTCTGCAGCTTAGACCAAATATTATGGCATGCTGTTCACATGTATCCTTGCATTGATAAAGATGTTGTCTAGCGTCTCTGTGATGTGATGATATAACGTCTCATCTGTCGCCCCTCAGGCTCTGGACAGAATTCTCTGCACTCTGCAGTCAAAGCAAACGGGACAACAGCCGGAGATCAAGGACCAGATGGTCTCTAGGTGTGTGTCTCTGTTTGTTTGTGTGTGTGCGGAAGATTGAGACGGTTGCCCAGTTGCACTAAGAACTTGTCTTCCCTTGTTCTAGGATGCACCATCTGAAGGAGGAAATGGAGATGTTGGTGAGGGAACTACAGTGTAACAACAGCATTATTGAGAGGTGAGTCTAGTGTCCGACTGCATGTTTCTCAAAACTCAGGAAATCAGGAAATCAGGAAACATTTATTAGCCAAAATATGTCAAACATACAAGGAATTTGTCTTGGCGGTTAGTGCGCGACAGTAGACAGACAAGACAAGACAAACTCACAGCCCAATGCGCAGTAGGTGACCAAAGATGATGTTTGTGTTTTGTTTTGTTATGTAGTCTGGGAACGGTGAGCCCTGCAGAAGCTTTGGAGCCAAACTTGGCCAGACCGTCTACACTTTGACAAAAGAGCTGCGTCCTTGCGTCTTAAAAGAAATGCCACGCTTGAACAGCCATGGACCATGTGGTGTTTTTTTTTTTCAAGGACTGCCTGAAGGCCTAATGCTGTAAGAAGAGGAAGCAGTCAAAGACAATCAATATGATGTGAATCTCAATTTAGAGATGAGATGCACACAATGGAGAGGAAGGAAACGCTGCGGTTGAATACAGACCTTAATGCCTTCAGTGTTATTGTATTTCTAATATGCTGCCACAGTGATGGATAAGGCAAAATTAATTCCAAGGCAGCTGCTGAATATTTTCAGTATGCCTGTGTGTCTTCTTTGTCCCATAGAAGAAGTACCACAAACTGGAGACCCTCAAATGATTAATATGACCAGATTGGCACTGTAGTTCTGTGTGTGTGCGTGTGCGTGTGCGTGTGCGTGTGCGTGTGTGTGTGTGTGTATATCTTATGTTGAGGCGTGAGATGCCTGCTGTTTTTTTCCTGATGCTTGATCATTGAAATGTTTCTATGTTTACTTTAAGGACATCTTTGTACATGCATGGTGATGTTATATCTTTGACTGTCAGCCTTTCCAAGAACATAGCACTGTCATTTTGAAAATAACAGCAAATGTTAGGTTGAAAACACAGTTCAGAGAATACAGCAAATAACAGTATGACAATAATTATGACATTAGCCATTGTGGCTCATGCAGTGGAGAAATCCTAGGGTTTATTTGTGTTTAAAAGGGGTCACAGAGGATACACAATGTTGGAATTAATAAAAAGGAGGAAAATGCTTTTAATGCTTTATTTTTTACCATAAACATGTTTTAAATTCATTTGTTTTTGGCAAATGATATTATCTATTGAGAAAGTAATGCCAGCTGAAAAGTGAAGAAACAGCAGAAGTTCTGGTAATACCTCATGTTCTGAAAAGACGATAAGAACTGACTGACATGAAAGGTCTCGGGGGAAACCGAAAACAAGCGAGCTGTTGTGACACTGAGTACAGAGAATGAAATCGAAAGTTCCCTTGATCTGTGTAGGAGTGGCGTGGGTGTCCTCGGGGGGTTTTCGGTGTAGCGAGGGGAACGAGCAACTGCCTGTGTTGTTTTATGCGGCTCGTGACGTGCTCTTGGCCGAGAAAATTTTGATAAGTTTCCTGTTCTTATCCTATACAGCCCACTGTGACTGTGTTTTTTATCAGTAGACAGTTGTACGTCCTACCAACATCCAACACATTCTGTAGGCCCAGTTAGTCGGGGTGTGCTTGGCTGTCAAGTCATGTTTCGTAGTGTTTTTTTGTTAATTGATTAACTGCAGTGTAGTTTTTACAGCAAGGGGACACTTCTGTAGTAGATAATTGTCCTCAATCCTTTTTACACGTTTTAAGACTCCCACTGTCAGAATAAGATACTATAAAGCAAAGGTGGTGCTCTTATATTTCTGCCATTCCACATAGAAAATTGTATTATTATCATAATGATGTTCTATAGTCTCAATACAGTATGTGGTAGCTCGACAGATTCTTGGTTTGTGGTTTATGTCTGTCTGCTCTATATTCCGTGTTTAAGCGGTTTCAGAAAATATTTACTGTTACTTCATTTAGAGTAACCTAAAGGTCGGATAACAATAGCGATAAAAAGCTAACAACGTAAAATATGTCATCAGTAAGTTCTCTTTTGGGGGATTTAATGTCAACCCCCCCCCCCCCCATCGGGAACCGAGGATTAGTGCGCGCTCTGGTCGCTTAAGCGCGAGCGCGCTCTTGGCATTTAAAGCTGTTGGAGCCTTTGCGTCACTACGCGCTCTGTGGCGGGCGTGAGTTGAGTTTACATTCAGGGCACGAGTGAAAACACTGCAAACTACCACACACACACGCGCGTTACGGGGGACAGGACAATGGCGTCCGTGAGTGTGGTGGGGCAGCACCCGGGTCCACACAGGCTGGACTCGGAACCGCTGCTCTTCAAGCGGACCGGAGGCAGAAGGAAAATCACCCTGCCGAGGAAGTCGTCCTGGGAGAAGATGAAGTTCAGGAGAAGCTCCGCCAGCGGCGCAGAATGCGCCTCGTCCGCCACGACCGAGGCTCTGGGACCAGCTGGAGAAACGGTCGAGAGAGGAGAGCTGGTGTCCGCTGAAGGATGCCGAGTCGCCGCGCCACGTAGCCTGCTCCGGGGCGGCGGCGCGGACTGCGACGGGAGCACGACAGCCGGTACCGGAGAAAGTCACACGGGGGGCACCGACAGCGACTGCAGCACCCACCGGGACTCGAACCGGCACGCGGGTCGGAGAGAGGCTTCTCTCAATGTCACGCCAAGCGGAGCGCTGACGAACGGACACAAAGGGGCGCACCGGCACCGAGACGCGCCACACGGGAGAAGGGACCCCGGCAGCGGACACGAGGTCATCTCCTCATCCGGGTCACCGTGCGCGCGCCCCGGCAGTCTACCGCTGGAGCGGCTCACACAGGGAAAGACCGGAGTGGTCAAGCTGGCCCGCAACGAGCCTCACCGCAGGCAGGCCTGGTCCATATTTCCCCGGGGGGGAGACCCTCGGGTGAGAACCGAGAGGGGTGAAGGACACTGGTTCGAGTCCAAGCCCTGTACGCACGACTGGTGTGACGCCTGTAGCCGTCAGATCACTGCTCAAGCACTCATGTGTCAAAGTAAGTAGTCACCCAAATCATGTATGCATCATGTGTTTAGAATGTTTTTGTGCTCATGTTTCATATTTTGAACCCTTACTTCACTAATGAGATTGATTGGCTGTATTATTCAAGGAAGGAACGACTCATTGGTGTGTATCTTGTTTATAGTACAGTATTGTTGTTATTAGGATTATTGTTTTATGAAGGTCACATGTAGCCAGTTGCTATCTCTTCCATAGTGGTTGCTGTGTGCGTGTACACACAAACAGACGTGTACACAGAAAAGTGTGCATGTGACTGAGCAACTGTGACAGGGAAGGATATTTCCATGGCGTTTTTGCTCCCTGGACCTCCCAAAACCTTTCCTTTAAAAGCCCATTATCTAGTCCTTCCGTATGTACGGCCTCAGAGAGCGCTGAAATGATAATCAATAGCGTTAGATTGGTGAAATACAGACATAACATGTGAGTGTGTATGAACGCATGTGTCCAAGATTGACTTGGATGTCAAAAAAAGAGTGGTTTGATCCATCGGGTATACAGTTATTTTGCATTCCGTCTGCCCGCTGGAGTCCTGTACCTGGCTGTGTAAACTGCTGAGAGCTGCTCAGGATCTGATGACATCACTCCCAACCGCACAGCTCTGGGACGCAGGCCGTTTAGCCGAGCCCATGTGACCTGTCAGATATGTGTCTCATCTGGATCGAGAGTATGCATGAACACACACATAGGCACCTTTGTTGTGAGTTTAACCTGAGTGTTTTTTAATCTGTGTGTTTGTGTGCACAAAAACCAGACCGAGCATGTATACAGAACAGTGTGTGTGTGTGTGTGTGTGTGTGTGAGAGAGAGAAAAAGAAAGTGCTGCTGACTTGGCATTTGTTCAGCAGCACTCTATGGCTGCACAACAGAGAGAGATGAAGAAATCTAAACGGGGGTCAAAGAAGAGGATGGCGTAAACAAAGCAAACAAGAGCAAGAAAGGGGAAAGAATGAGAAGTATTTTGAATCAGGGATGATGACAAAAATAATGGAAAGTGATAGGAATGAGGAGAGACGGAGCACTAGGAGCATTGGGGGGGGTAAAGAGCAAGAGTTTGAACTGCACTGCAGAGCTGTCTGATTTAGTGTGCTATCAGCAAGAGCTCAGTGGAGCGAGAGCGGCGATTACTGGACCACTGTTCTCACACAACACCCGGACAGACACACACACACACACCCAGTGTGTGTCTTTACGACCCGAGAACTTTTTATCTTGTTTATGGGTCAAGCCGATTAGCTAGAGAGGTCTGCTGCCAGCAGCGGCCGCCCAGATCAAACTGTCCCCTTCAGCTCCCTTTTCTTGGAAAACATCAGAGGTGAGTGTGGTACACAGTCATGGGGGTCACCAGGACGAGCATGACTTCAAGGGTTCTTTCTGTGGGGAGAGACGCAACCACAATTGCCAAAATAGAAACGACCCAGGCGCACACACACACGCACGCTCGCTCCTCTTTCATCTGCACCCAGAAAATGACAGGGAGTGAGAGACGGAGGCCTTGCCGCCATAAACAGCCATCATTCTGTCCTTTTGTCTCGTTGCGTGCATCACTCTCTCTGCATGTCTTTAATTTATCACCCTCCCTGCGTCTGCACTGGCATTGTTGCATAGGAGGAGCATCGAAACAACACCCCCCCCACTTCGAGACAGCCGTGCTTGCAGAGACCGTTGTGATGGGGCCTTGCCCTGCTGAGGAATCTGTCCATCCAGCCGGTTGCACGATCCTTCTACGGCTGGATTTCGTCTGTGTCTGTGCTTGAAAAACAAACCAATCTTCATTGCTTCCTATGAAAGTTAGAATGAGTTTGATTTGTAGTATGCATAATACCATACAGCGTAAAAAATAAAGCATATGGCCAACATGCCTAGACAGGTGAATCTAGGCATGTTGAAGTGACAGTCTAGACATCCGTGAGCTCTATATTTCTGCTTTACTGACACTAATCTGGGCTATTAAAGGAACTCACCTTTGAACAAGCACCGATGATTGACACATATACTGATACATATTGTTTAAATAAAGTTGTAAAAAAAATGTATGTGGCAATTACATAAATCTGTGCAGTAGATCGGGTTGTATCCGGTTGGCTGTTGATCAGTGTCCCTCTGATTTTCAACTGTCATGCTGGGACATTGGTCCCGGCAGGCGGGCAGGAGACAGGGAGTGAGGGAGGAGAATGACGGTTTCCTTAATCCCAGCTCGTGGTGTCTCCTGCCTGAGATTAAGGCTTAGGGATGGAGAGGTTGGGGATTACAGGCAGGCAGACAGTCAGACGTCAGATTAGTCTTTAATTAAAGCTTTCGGGGTGCTTCTGTGGCACCAGAGCTTTGACTACCTTCGTTTGGTCCTTTCCTATATTCAACTTTGTCCAGCAGCAAGACATGCGGCGCTCATGGTATGTGCTCAATTCCACCGAGGAGTTGCAATTTAAACCCTTATTGGGGTAGCACAAGCAACAGATGACCAATAAGTGGTTGAAATGTTAAGGGCGATGTTTATGTATTCATCATTAAGCCCCATTGAAAATGTTATATCTTAAAAAAAAGAACAATCATTTATTTATAACATACATAATCTCTTTTTCAAATGAATGCATTAATTTGTAAGGTTATAAAATGTCAAAACATCTGTTACAAAAAGTGTGAACCCAAATTCTGTTGCTCAATGTGGATTCCTCCTCGTTTGTCTAAATACATTTGGATTAACAGAGGTATAAAACAAAATCCGTTGTTAGTCTTTGTTAATTTGTTTGAAGCATTCGTCAAACAAAATAACAAAGACTAACAAAGGTTTTGTTTTATATCTCTGTTTGACGAATGCTTCAAACAAATGAATCGAAAAATAACTCTTTGGTGTGTGATTAGTTCTGCAGGGGTGCCTGGATTTCACGGCTCCTTGTGTCACAGCGCCGTACAAATACTCCAGAGACCATGAGATCCTCCAAACAATCTCACAACACGAGGCATATGTGAACTATTAAATAATGAACTATTGAATATTTTAGAATGGAGATCCTTGTTGTTACAGTCAGCAGATGTGTCGTCGGTTGCTGGTCACCATGGAGACGGGGACGGCATACTCTTCTCAACACTTGGCTGCCAGGAAGTTCC